GAGAACGATTGAGAATATTCCAATCGTTTGAAAGTATTCAGATGTATTCTTGGAAGACTAGCCTAGGGTGCCTCCGGAGAGGTAGGTGGAGTTTCATATTGATTGGTACTAAGTGTTGATCTGATTGTCAAGGTACCTTATCGGTTAGCACCACCAGAGATGCAGGAGTTGTCTACACAACTACAAGAGCTATTAGACAAGGGGTTTATCATGATGAGTAGTTTGCCCTGGGGTGCATGGGTTTTATTTGTAAAGAATAAGGACGGCTCCTACATGATGTGCATCGATTACCGGTAACCGAACAAGTTAACGGTGAAGAACCGTTATCCGATTTCGAGGATTGATGATTTATTCGACCAATTATAGGATGCGTCTTGGTTCTTTAAGATCAATCTGCATTCAGGCTACCATCAGATAAGAGTCAGAGATGTGGATATCCAAAAAACTGCTTTCAGGACTCGTTATCGTCATTACGAGTTCGTGGTTATCCCTTTTGAGCTCACAAATACCCCAGTCGCATTCATGGATCTCATGAACCGCGTGTGTAGACTGATGTTGGATTGGTTTGTCATTATATTTATTGATGATATCTTGATCCATATACTAAAAACTAAAGGAATTGTGGGTTAATTATAGAATATTATGAGAGAAAGGCAAGGGAAAGGTGTGAGAAACGAACAAAACTTCGAAGGCTATTTATATGCAAAAAAGCAGATGCACGCCGCACACCCTATTTGTGGGCACCACATAGTTGGTCGGAAGATGACATGTAGCAATCTCGTGGAATGTCATATGCGCGTCGCACATGCTGTCTGTGATCGTGGCTGCACGCGAAAAAAATCTATTTTTTTTAATTCATATATTCTTCATACAAGCTCCATTTTCGATGGATTTAATATAAACGCATAGCTATCAATATTATCTATAATTTTCATTTAGACTCTCTCAGCTAGTTTTGATTTTACATATAACGTTATATTTTTAACAGACTGAGACTATTAAAATCTGTTAAAAATTCATAACTCTCTCATAGATATCCATTTTCGACTATCTTTATATCAACATATAAGTATTGGCAAGATCTTCACCTCTAGTTTAGATTGTTTTTTCTAACAATCAACTGATTTTAATTTTAGTTTTTGAGTCATATACTGTTACACTGAAATATTAGAAAAATCATAACTTACTCTAATGAAGTCAGATTTAGGCGTTCTTTATATACACAAAATCTTTGTCATATATACAATAAATTTTGTTATGTTCATTTATCCTAAATAATCTTCTATTAAAAAGTTAATTTTAACGCTTATAATATTCAGATTGACTGATCAGAATCTACGAGTGTTACATTCACCTATTACGATAGTAGAGCTGCTAATTCATCAGTTGCTTTCCAAGAAATCTCAAAGTATTTTTTTTCTTTAGCTTTACTATTTTTTTTAATATCTAGATGTTTGATTGTAATTTATTAAAGAAAGATGATGTCATATATAAGATTCTAAAAAGCTTGTTATGGCTCCGTCATGGCTCCAAGGTTTGTACATGCCGCCAAGTTTTACCAAAACGTCGCTTTAACTCATATATGTATATAAAAATGATTAATAATTGAAAATACATATAAAAATATTAATTATATACAAAATTGTTGCTTTATGCCATGTTTTACAGACGACATGGCTCGCTAAGACTCGGAAAAAAAAAGGCATATCATTACCACCAAGTCATACCTTACGTTATTTAGAATCTTAGTTTGATAGATACATTTAGGTTTTAAAAAGTGCTAATAAGTTTTTAAAGGGAAATATGTTTAAAAGAAAAAGTAAAACACATTGTTTTACGATGTATTGATGAATTTGTTCATTTGTTTTTCAATTGTGTGGTAATTTTTTTCAACTTGGGATTCCTTGTTTTTTACAAATGATCAATCTAAACATTTAATATTTTACTAATTACAATTTGATATGTATAAATTTGTTTGAATAAAGATTAAGTGTGAGCCTCATGTATTACATGGATATATTTAAAACAATTAAATATGTATAAACATTTGAAAATTTTGAATTTACAAGAAAAATGAGAAAAATATTGAATTACTTAAAGTGTTTTTTTTTCTCTTTTAAATATAAACAAATCATTTAGATAAAATAATCAAAGCAAATTAATAAGATTTTATTTTAAAAATTTTGAAATTATAAAGAAAGTCTATTAATGAAATTAATATGCATTTATTATTAAATTTAAATATCATATAAAATTTAATAAAATAGGAAAATCACAAAATTACATATGAAATAAAAATTAATTCAAAATAACTACAAAATGATATGTGCCAAATGAATGAGAGTGTGACAAATAGCAAAAAAAAAAAAAAAAAAAAAAAAAAAAAAAAAAAAACCTCATTTATTAGAGAAGATTTAACTGGATTTATTATATGTATGGTTGAAACTATTCGATAAAACAATAGACTTGAATTAGAAAAAGAACAAACCCAAATAAAAGTTGTGATCTAAATAATTTATGGTGGAACTTTAATAGTAATTTTCATTATTTTGTTTTATTTTGTTCACTTATGAAGTCTAATCCATTATTCTTTTCGAGTTTCTGCTATTAAACATAGATTATTTTAATGTGATCTCACCTCTTTAGTTTATTATATAGTCGGGTGCTCAAGTCTTAAAAAAATTTATATTTAATTTGAAATCGAGCATTACATTACAGGTTGTAAGAAGTTTCGTAGAGCGTCACAATTTCATAAGTTTATCTAAAATTAGACAACATAACTTATAATAATCTTTTTGTAGCCTTATGCCTTTAGTTATACATGATTGTGATGATCATTTTTTCTTATTAAAATGTTTCTCTTAATTTTGACGGTTTACGGCAATAAAAAATTATGGTTAATGTTTAAACGTTAAAGTTGATTCTACTAACAATGTCTCAGTCAACATCAAGTTATAATGTAAATATTTCACATAAATATTATTTAAATATGATTTCATTTTATATGATCTTCCGAGACTGATATAACAATCACATATAAGAGTATTCAAAAACCATAAAGTAAAAAAATGGGTTTAATAGTTTGAAAGTTCCAAGTGTCTCGTAACTGACCTATGTATGAAGTTAGGAAAAAAAAAATGCAATTCCGTTGCCGGGACTTGAACCCGGGTCTCTCGGGTGAGAGCCGAGTATCCTAACCAACTAGACTACAACGGATTTGGTTAAAATTACAAAATGTTTGTATATAAAGTTAGTATATAATCCGTTGTTGATCTTTCAATCATCGTTTGAATGATATCAGGTTCCAATTTCATTATCACTTTCCCGATCCGAGTCCCAACTGATTCCTGGTATCTTAGTATGGACTTGGGTTTTATCACTAATTTTTACCATCCACAGTTTTGCTTAGTTGGTGCCATTAATGATTTATCCTTCTGATTTTCAACATAATTGATGGTCATTTGTAATTTATTCACTTTCACAATTGGACACAGTTAGACAAATGCTTAACTAAAAACTTGCGAGTGTGTAGCTATGAAGATTGAAGATATTATTGTAAATAGTAAATAGTAGTGTTTTGTGATCATTTCATTTTGTATTTATACAGTCAAATGAAAATGTTAAATGAAATATTAATTATAAAAAAATATTATCATAATCAAATTTAATAAATATTAATTATATATAATATTTTATATAAATAATATATTTTATATTTATTTATCATATATTGTAAAGTCCCATAAATATGATGGTCTTGTTTTGCGTAACCAGTTGTATTATAATAGTTAAGTTTTTGGCCGATTGAGACCTCTTACCATCATCCTCACCAGATAACACTTTTTCTTTATTGATAAATGATGTGACCCATCCATGATAACAACATATATTCATTTTATTTTCAACGGATGGAATAACTCGTCGACCATTTAATCCAATAATTGTACGGTACCTCCCTCCCTCCACCTGTCACCCGTAAGGAACACTTTGGATGACACATGATTGATAACGTGTCATCCCTACCCTCTTCTACTCTTTGTTCCCATCATCTTTTTGTGTATATTTCAATATATATAAACAAAAAATAGAAAAACGAATCATTAACACATACATAGAATTAAAACCACAGTTTTTTTTTTCTTCCTTTTTTTTAATGGTTTTAAGCTTTATGGTGGGGCCAGAGGTAGGGGTGTTTGATCGGGTAATTTTTTCGGGTTTTGATTCGGGTCGGATTATTCGGGTTTTAATGTTAGAAAAAATACCCGTTACCTTACCCAAACTAAATTTGGGTTTGGGTAATTCGGGTATCAGATCGGGTTTGGTTATTCGGATATTATCCGAAATATATAATTTTTTTTTGAATTTCATTTGAAAATAAATTTAGTGAAATAAATACGTTGTGCTTAGTCTTGTTTATGTAAAGAAACGAGACATAAACGAAGTTACTCGCTTTGAACATTGAGATTTATTAGTTAATAATACTAAGATATCAAGTAATTTTTTAACAACTAAATCTAATCTAATAAGATGTTAAAGAAAAAACAAATACTTAAAGATTTTAATTTAAAAGTTTAAAATGTTTAAGATAATTGCAGCCATAAGTTTTACCATGTTCTGAAGTTTCGTCAAGATAATAAGTTTGTTAGTTGCAATAAAAACTATAATCTATAAAACAGTTAAATTTTAAAGAACAATGATAATATATAAACAATTATTTTTAATATTGTTAGTATCATATTATCATAATAAATAAATTCATATTTTACAATAATAATAAATAGTTTAAGCGTAATCAAATATATGCTATATAATTCGAACTCTACAAAAAAATAATAATAATAATTCGGGTAATTCAGGCATACCCAAAACCCAAAAAATATATCATATACCCGACCCAAAAAAATCAGGTTACCTGATTACCCGAAAAAATTTACCCGATACCCGAAAATTCGGACGGGTAATTCGGATATTGGATATTTTACGATAGGGCTAGCCGGTGGTTATTTAGAAGGGGCAGGATTAGTTTTATAATCGTGTCATAAACTTACAACAAACAGCTATTCGAAAATATGACAAAACTCCAATTTCCATGGTTGTGATTATTGAAATACCAAATATATAAACCCTTACACTTGAGAACCAAAATAAGATAAATACGTGAAAAGCATTTGTAACAAAAAGCTTAATAGGGGGAAGGGAATAGACAGCTAGTCTCTCTCTCTCTCTCTCTATATATATATATATATATATTGCTATTGCACCATCACTTTAATCGGGGTTACACTTAGACAGCAGCACCTTCGTTGAGCAGCATCTGATCAAAATGCCAAACTCCTGATATTTCAAAAAAATAATAATAATAATTATACACTTCATTTTACCAAATTCTAATATATATTATTAACCAACAAATTAAAATCGTATTTTTACCATGTCCTTTCCCAACTCTTCTTAGCTGAGCAACATATTCAGATATCTTCTTAATCGCCTCAACCTTTTATCAACAACTCCCTCATTAGCACATACCAATTATTAAATAAAACTAAAAAAAAAACAAAAAGATATCTGTATATTTGATATTTCTACCTGTTCACCCAAGAACTCGCTTTCAACAAAATCAGCTAATTGTACGTCATTGTTCTTGTTGGCTACCTGTTCACAATCCCAAAAAACTCAATTCCCACTTTTAAATCAGCTTAATAAACAATCATTAACCTCGATTGGTTAGTAATCATACCGCATGGACATGAAGGAGCTTCTCATTTGTCAACTTCTCCAGTGATAATGCAAGCTCCATGGCTACAATCAAGTCAACAAATTAAACGCAGGTAAACCAAAACATACAAATTTTGGCCAAACAATCATATCATAGCTAACAACTTACCATAAAGTGCATCTCCTTTCTCTGCATGATCAAAATCAGACAATGGCATTAAAATGGATTGCAGCTTCACCTTCCCACCACGTTTGTTCTGAAAGCAGAAAAATTTGTAGAAAAACCATATAACTTTGATCAATAACCATTAAAAGTATGCGTCAAGTTCTCAACTATATACACATGAACCAAGAAGACTGCTACAGAAAACTATCAAGCACCTGGTACTCCATAAACTTCTCAGCATGTTCTCTTTCTTCCTCACTGGATTCCTTAAAGAACCTAAAATGATTCGTATCCATAGTCCGATCAAATCTTGTCCAACTGATTGTTAATAGAAATGGCAATGATGATGATGATGATGATGATGGTAACTTACTTGGCTATGCCCTTGAGAGCAACGTTGTCCCTATCAAAGTAGGCATACATAGCATGGTACACATATGAAACATTGTACTCGACACTGAAAACAACAACAAAAAGAAGATTAGCATTAGAAACATGGACAAACTCACCATCAACAGAATCTGTTAACAAAGACATCAGATACTGTTTAAACCGATTAATGAAATGGTTAATCTCCATCAAAACGACAACAAATTGACAAAAAATGATCATTAAGTAGAGGACAATGTACTAAATATCATGCACAGAGTCACCTAAATCTATCAAAACCGAAACCTGTGAAGCTGTGAAGATATATTCACACAGACAGATTTCTCCTGGTAATTTTATCAAACACATGGCATGCGGTTTTGGATGTGCAAAGTGCAAACATATTAGATTACTAGTCACAATTTTCTAGTAAACAATAATAATAGCATATAAAACAAGGATCCAACAGAATAAATTGAAATACGAAATGAAAAAGTAAAGTAAGAAAGAGTACTTGATCTGTTCGTTAATAACGGCCTCGGAATCATCAGCGTACTTTTGACGAGCAAGAGACTGTTGAGGAACAGTAGGGACGAGATTGAGCTCCTTTTTGACCTCCTCAAACGGCTCAAACACAACGCCTGTAATCGGCCTATTATTCGAAGATCCGCCTTTCGCCGCCGCACAAATGATAACCGACGGAGGTGAAACAGAGGAGGATGATAGCTTAGAACCATTGAAATTATCCCCGGAGCCTACGGTGGCACCGTTCCGCAAGAAGATAGTCGGTGGAGCTCTTAGAAGCATGATTTCTGAAAGAGATAAAAGACGCAGAGAGTGCTTAAGAGAGTGATTAAGGGTCAAATGGAGAGCAGGTTTGTGTGTGTGTGTGTCACTGATAAGTGATAAGGAAGAAGAGGAGAAGCACTATATACCAAGTCGGCGTGGACGAACAGCCGCAGGATCGGATGACACGTGGAGGGTTAGGATTTAATAGATGAGGTAGGCGCGTGGCTGGCTCATGCTATACCTGTATAGATGCTCCAGGTTCTGAATTGTGCTTTGTCGTGACTGTGTTTGTAGCTTTGCATATCGAATATTTATTTTAAAACTTTTTAATAAAAATAATATATCTTGTAAAGTAGATAAAAGTCCGAAAACATAGAAGAACTATCCACTAAATAGTCACATCTTATTCTTAGGCCCGTGTATTCAATATTTCTTTTCATTTAACAATATGATCACCATAACAGCAAATACCATATCGTGACTCTTGAATGATAGACCAAAAGGTTCTCGTGACTTTTACAATTTATGTTTTAAATGATTGTACTGTACAACTATATAAAACATAATTTGTTGTGTATGACTGAAAAGTGTTGTGTACGAATCATCATCTAAACCAAAAAGTTCACATGTACAAAAGGTTATTTTGTCACTATTTGACAAAATTGCAAAAATGGTCTATATGGTATGTATTTTTTTGTGGTTTTAGTTCAAACCTCGATTTTCTTTAATTGGTGGTCATTTTAAATTAGTTTCGTTGCGTTTTTTGTCCATTTGAATAGTAAATGATTGTACCCTTGGACTATTTATTTTCTATTTTTCTTTCATTTATTTTTAAATCTAATACTAATTTATTTATTTTAATAATTAAAAAAATAAGAAAGGATCTCTCTCTCTCTCTCTCTCTTCTCTCTCTCTCTCTCTCTCTCTCTCTCTCTCTCTCTCTCTCTCTCTCTCTCTCTCCACAGAGTAACGAAAAAGTAAAAACAAATCTCACCCCATCTTCTTCTTCCCCAACCCAATCTTCATTTTCAACACTTCTTTCTACTAGATTACTATCCCTCTGATCCACCTAAACCTCCATCGAACACCACCAACCACCATGTCGGTCAAACAGTACCACTACCACGGTGGTAAGAAGCGTAAAATAATCAAACGAATACTCATCAGATGGGTAATTCTTCAGTGCAAAAACCTCGATTTATCCTCCAAGATGCCACCATCTACGACTTCAACGTCTCCGCCCCCATCATCCTCTCCTCCAACTTTCAGGTCGCTAACTCCTCCCAGAACCACCACAGGTGATCCAAACGTTTTGAAATTTAGGTCATATATGTATATATGTTATGATCATTGCCGACGTGAGCTTTGGTACAAAAAATTCAAGATCAATCTAAGTTTTCGTAATCTAGGGCTTCCTTCTCTGCCATTTTATTTCAAGCTAAACATCACAAAACACCAGTCATAGCAAACCTTTTAGGCATCGATGATGGAATAAAGAGTTACTAGGAGTGAAAAAATATAAAGCTGATGCATCGATGATGGAAGTAGGAGTTACCAGAGAGCGGTTGTAGAGATGAGGACCTCCACCTCCACTAATGTTTTGTCTGTTCTGTGTAGCCGGTAAGGATAAGGACCTCCACGTCCGTTAATCCCTAACCACTGTCGTTTATTGCTTCATACGTTATCATCTCCGATATGTTTGAGCTTGTGTAGAAGATAAGCCTCTTGGGGTAGAGAAGAAAAGTTTAGAAAGACAGATGTAATGGTAAGGAGAGGTGTGGTGTTTGTATGTCGCCGATAAGGATTTTGTTTGTGTGGAGAGAGTGTGTGTGTGTGTGTGTGAGAGAGAGAGAGAGAGAGAGATAGATAGATAGATAGATAGATAGATAGAGAGATCCCACTTATTTTTTTTAATTTTTTAAATAACTTAATGAATATAAGATTTTAAAAAATGAAAGAAAAATAGAAAATAAATATCTCAATGGTATTACAGTCATTTCAGTTTACCGAGAAACCAAAAAACGCAATGAAACTACCTCAAAAGGATCACCAATCCAACAAAAGTCATGATTTGGACTAAAACCCAAAAAAAAAAAAATACATACCACAATGACCATTTTTGCAATTTTGTCTCAGTATTTTATAGTTGTCTCCATGGATCATCACAACTTTTTGTGTCCGAATCATCGATCCAACAACAATTTGACAATTCTTACGTCTAGAAGTGGCAATAGGTTGATCTAGGTTGGCTTTTAGTTGAGTTTAATATTTCAACCCAACCCAACATTATTATTTAAATGAGTGCATATTTCCAACCTAATCCAATCTTTCAGATAAATGGGTTGTCATTGGGTTAATCTGTTTATATAATTTTTAACCCAACCTATTAAATAAATGAGTTAAACCTGCGGTCACCCATTTAAAATAAAAAAAATAAGTCAAATAACTAAAGATTACACCAATTAAATAAATTAGTTCCAAACTTAAATAAACTTTCAAAATATAATAAAAGCACAATCACGATTCACAAATGCAAAGAAAATTTTCAAATAACATTAAAGATATATAATTTCGAAGTGTTTTTAAAGAGTGACTAGTGTTGTCGGCACAAAGAAAAAAGACAAGAATTAGGATTGTATTTTTTTAAAAATAAATAACAATACAACATTATAATTTTTAATTAATACTTAGATTAATACATAATAATATTTAAATAATTATTAAGTTAAATTTATATTAAAATTAAATAAGTTAGTGAGTTGAAAATGAGTTGACAATAATTACCCAAACCAACCTATTTGGACTCAACCTTTTTACCACCATATGTTTAATCAATTATTTTTCTAGTTAAATCGGTTTTCTCTTAAACCAGCTCGGTTGAATCTGGTTAGAAAACTATATGGTTTTCTATTATGGACTTACCACCACCGATATATTGCATCTAACCTATCTCTTTATATAATTCAATCTTAACAAGACGTGACCATCAAAGCCAAAACGCATTTGTAGGAAAAATAAGACAAATGGTGTCTTCTTCCTCTGCTCTGACTAAGTTCATGTTTTGGGATGTGTGTATATCCTAAAGGCGCATGAAGACCCGCTAGTAGTCTATGATTCTATGTTACACTCATTTCTCTCTCTTCTACAATGGTCATGACGATGGTGTGTTGTGGTTTTATATTGGATGACGATGGTGTCATGTTTTTTTTTTTTTTTTATAACTGATTTAATTACTCAGAAAATATAAAGTGAGTTATTGGTGTAAATCCAAATTTGCGTGTCTACATATTTATATTTACATATGTTGACGTTTTTTTTTTTTGCTTAAATGCTTGAGTAAGCTCAACAAACTAGCCAAACTCGGGCCAAGACCCAAGACTGATGAATGGCAGCCCATGTATTTACCAATTTAGCCTTATTTGAACACTAAAGTCTGAAAGGATATCTACACTATTAGCCCTGTTTGTTTTCGTTATCATGACTTTATTATGAGTACGCCAGTTCACTTTTCACATTATGTATTTTATTATATTTCTTTCGAACTTCCACCGTGTGGTTCCCAAAGAATGCAAAGCTTTAACGAGATGAAAGCTAGAGATTTGATACTGAAATAGTGAATTCTTCGAATCGGGGTGATAAACAGACGTTCCTGTTCCGGACCGACCTTACAAGAAAATAATAGAGTGAATCAAGTGGGTTATATATGATATTTTTTTAAATATTATTATACAAGTTTCTCTCATAAATATTAGACAAAATTACAAGAATGGTCCATGTGGTATGTCAAGACTAACAAGTTTGGACTCGCAAGGGTGGTCCAAAAGTTTCATTTTGTTGCGATTTTAATCCAAAATTTTCAAAACTTTTTTTAAAGACATATTTTTCCTTGGTATTTTTCTATCTTTTTATATTTTTTTATTACAAAAAACAAAAAAGAAAAAAATCTCACTCCACCCTTCTTCTTCTTCTTCTTCTTCTTCTTCTTCTTCTCTCTCTCTCTCTCTCTCTCTCTCTCTCTCTCTCCAAAAAAGCTTTAGCAGGTTGTACACTACAACCCAAACTTGTTCTTGCTTACAAAAAATCAGAAATTTGAGTTCTTGAGTTCAGATCTTGTAGTTGTATGTGTTCATGTTCTAGATTTCTTGTATGTGTTCTTGTCATATTGTGTGTGTGTGTTCCAAATCCATTTATTTGATGCTCCAATTTTCAAAAATTCGATCTAGAGATAAAAATACGACATGTGTGTTCTTGTGACCAGAAAATCAAAAATTAATCAATACACTTCATCTCTCTCATACACACAACATCAAGAGCACAGTAGAATCAATGATTTCAGGAATAAAAACATTTCTATGTGTGTGTTTTCTAACCCGATTCCAACAACAAAAAACATTTTTTAGAACTCAAGAATGCAAGAAATCTACAGATAGATGAACAGATCTGAAGCAAAAAACCCTAACTAAAAAACGAAGACATAAACCCTAATTGAAGAACAAAGTCGTCGTAGAGATCTGAACATCTCCTTACGGCGAATCGAGAAGAAAAACATGATCGGAAGCAACAAGAGGGATAGATTGATGGTTGTTGAGGAATTACGAATAAGGGGAGCCCGTTTTTGTAGCGATCCTCTTGGGCTCTTCGACCTCGTCTCCGGCAGCAATCGAATAAAGAAAGGAAACAACAACAACAACAATCGACCAATGGATAGCATCATCAGTGCTTGACTAAAAAAAGAAGGAGAACAAAAACGACAGCAGGTAGGGGTTTCGTGGGATTTCTCAGCAACCGTAGGAGGTGTGGTTAGAACAGAGGCAACAACCTCATTCATTCTGTTTCGTTTTTCCGGTGAGTCAAGGAAGAAAATAATGAGAGGGGAATCGAGAATAACAACAACTGAGGGTGTTTGGGTGGTGCTTCGACAAGAGGAGGGTGAGAATTTGTGAAATCGTTGGTTCCTCCTTCCCTTCCTTTACCAGAGGTCAAAACGAGAGTGAGAGAGAGAGATAACTGAGTATTTTCTTTTTTCTTTTCTTTTTTAGATTTTTGTAATAAAAAACTAAAAAAAAGATAATACCAAGCGCAAAATCATCATTTTATAAAAAGATCAAAACAAA